TTTAAGAAATGGTCTCAGGAAGACTTCAAAGGCTGGCAAAGCCTTTAAGCAGGAAGGGAGGGTAGACACAAAACCACTGATGACAAAATGCCACCAGTCAAAGAAAGTTAAGGAAAATTAATATTGTTTAGACATGACAGCAAGCAATCACAATTTGATTGTCAACAATATCAAGATTAATAAGAAAGAACAAGGTCAAATTTCACCTTATTGCAAAATCACACCATAAAACAAGGTGAATGAGGTACAATTTGTGCATTGCTATCAGTGTACTAAAACTTGTCAGCAGAACATTAACTCTTCGTATAATACAAAGGTCAAGCCATTGGAAACACATCTGCATCGAAGCCTTTGGCAATACCAGTGAAGCAAATAAGAACATCCAAAGTAAGGGCACAGCGTTTCAGTTTTATGTGAGAAAATACTTTTTGTTTCCAGCATGACAGATCAGGTTAGTCAGTAGTGTACTCTGAGACATACATGAATTTTAAAAATTAAATTTAAAAATGAATGGCTTTAATCCTGCTGACCCTGGGCATGACTATATTCCTACCAATGCCCCAAGAGCCACAGGCTTACAGAATTAAGCCTGAAGTAGCCCACTTAAAATACCAAAGAAAACCCTACCAATAAACTCTTACATCACAGCTCCACCACAAAACTTCCCACCATTCCCCAAAATACTGCATTTAAATTTAATTCACAAATAAACCAGCAACTACCACACATTGAACAGACAATCTAAAGCTAACACTGAAGTTCCACTTTAGGACTGCAGGTCTCTATGATACTTCTATGACTGTGGTGGAAATTTAAGAGCCCAAATACACTGTGCTTCGATCCTCCTGTTCCCTTCATTCCATCAACTGACCTTACAAAGACAGAAAAACATTTTCCTCTTGTCCCTCGTCTTTATCATAATATCACAACCTCCATTTATAAACAGTTTAACAAACTCCCCTCCACTAGCATTTTCTAAAGTCAGGTATTTTCCATTTTTATTGACAAGTTGATTTGTTTTTTCCAGAAAAGTCTACTTAAATATAAAAATCACCCTTCCTGGAAACCATGTTTCTTTAAAAAAGCTATGTTTGTCCCCGTACTCATTTTGTTCACTCAAGACAACCAGATTTAGAGACAAAGAGCTTGGAAAACAAATCTTTGTATTGTATCATTACACCATGATTGTGGAGTTGCTAAGGACCACTACACAGCTACAATGTCTGTTCTTTAAAAGAAAAGTAGAACATCTGCTTTAAACAAATGCTAATTTTCGTCTTACACCTGTTCAAAAATACTGTGCATACTCAACTTGGATTCTATTAATCTTGCTATAATTGCAGGTACAGCAAACACAGTTCTATCAAAGCAAAAATACCAAAAAAACCAACCAAAATACTCAAATCCCCAGCCAAAAAGCCCTTGGAAAATTGCACTTTTTTTCTCTTCATTTTGGTAAGCTTCTGGAGTTTAATTTTATATATATATAAAAAACAAACAAACAAACAAAAAGCCAAAACAACAAAACACACTGCCAATCAGTTCTTGTATTACAATCGAAGAAAACACTGCTCAACAATCCCCACTTCCGCTTATTGGCAGGAATGCAAGTCTTCCATTAGTTTGCTTTAAAAACTGAAAGAGTGGATAAACAGCTTAACAACCCTAAAATTCTCAACAACGTAAAAAAAACTCGCAGGTCCCAGCTGGATATTCCAAAACAGACAATGTTTCCTCCAATGTTTTCTTGGTAACAAAATAGACAGTTCAGAGCCAGAGCCATTTTGAGTTTTTAAGACGAGTAGTTCTCACGCTTTTCCCCCACCGTTTTCCTTGCAATATAGTTCTTAATATTGAAAATAAATAAATAAATAAATAAATAAACAAAAACCAACCAAACAAAAACAAACAAACAAACAAACAACCCAACGCGCAACTGTTAGTGAGGCAGCCGCACTTTTCCCGCTTTCAAGGAAATCTTTTTTTTTTTTTTTTTTGCACCGCATGGGGAAGTATTGCACGTGGCGTCACAACGAAGCAACTTCCGAATGACAGCGGGTAACCGCAGGGAAAACCTGTTGCGGCAGGGAAAGAAGGAGGATCCCGGAGCGGAGGCGAACCCTCACGGCCCCAGGGCAGCGCGTCCCCGGGGACACCCCCGGCACGGCCCCGGCTCCGGGCGCCGTGCGGCGATGACGACCACCGCCTCCCGACAGCTAGCAGAGCCTAAAACTCCCCCGAGCTCTGACAAGCCTCCCAGGGCTGCGGGCGGCCCCGGTCCCGCCGAGCCATCCCCCCCGGCTCCCCCGGCGCTTACCGGGCGGTGTCGAGCAGCGGGTGCTTGGTGCCCACCAGCTTGCGGACCTGCATGGCGATGTTGCTGAGCTCGTCGCTCAGCAGGCACCGCAGGCTCATGAAGGACGTCGGGTAGCCCACGATCTTCTCTGCCTCCGACACCACCTGGCTCCAGGGCGGGCCGCCCGACGACAGGCACCGCAGCCCGCCGGTGCCGCGCACCCCGCGCCGCAGCAGGGCGCCCCACATGCCGCCTCCCCGGGGAGTCCCCGCTCTCCCGCTACGAGCCCCGGCGGGGCCCCGCACGCCGAGCGGGCACAGAGGAGTGCCCCTCGCGAAGCAGCGCCCCGGCTGTGCCCCGGCCAGCCCTGCCTCCGGCCCGCGTCCCACGCGGCGGCGGCGGCCGGAGACGGCTCATTCTGCCCTGGGGGCCGCCATCTTGGGCGTCGCAAACCGCGCCGGGCCGTAAAGCGCGGGGTGGGCGGGCGAGGGATCTGGGCGCTCGCTGGGAGAGGCTCTGGTTTTCCTGCATCCTCGGCCCTCGCGGCGGGGAAAGGGACAACGCTTCTCTTCCCCGCTATGTGCTTGTCGCCTCCCGCAGCCTCTGGGCAGGGAGCGCTGCCCGCGCCTGGCTCCTGGCTGGCTGGGCATGTCCCGCAGAACAAGATGTGCTCAGCCTGCGCCCCGGGGCTGTGTGGAGAGAGTGGCGGGGAAGAGAGTTCAGGTTCACACCTGAAGTGTTCAGCCTGTAGTCCTTGGCTACACAGTCACGTTTTCTATAAAACTTCTTCTCTGTTAGGGTCAGGCGTTGGAATAGGTTGGAGTGACCATCCCTGGAGGTGTTTGAGAGGCGTCTGGATCTGCTGCTGGGTGATGGGATTTAGGGGTTACAGTGGTAGTGCTGGGTTGATGGTTGGACTGGATGATCTTAAAGGTCTCTTTTGACCTTGATGATTCTGTGATTCTACAGCTGCAGTGTACAGGTGTTCTTATTTTGTCTCTTCCCAGAGTTGTTTGGGATGTGGCACGTTACTGCATGTTCTGCCTTTCCTTGTAGGTTCATTCCATGGTGCTCCACTGTGACACAGATGAGGGGTTTATGAACAGCCTCCTTGAGAGCTGAAGAGGTACTTATGACCAAACAATTAACATCAAAATTGACAGCTAATTCTGAAGACTTCTGAATCCCACAATTCTAGTGCAGTATGGTCTGCACTACATGGTATGTCATGTAGTGTTTCATTTATTATGAGCACAGCCATCACAATGTCCCTTTGCAGCTACCTGCACCCCAAGCTTTTGTGAATTCAGAGTCTGGATTTTCTGTACCCCAGAGGAGGAAAACTCACTGGCCATCTTCAGAAATTGTATTTAGGTGACTTCCTCAATCCCACAAATACTTCAGCAAGAATACGATCTGTTCTGTCTTTACAGTCACTTGCATTCCTCCTGTAACTTCAAGGCTTTGCCACAACAAATCAGGCAGAGTTCTGATGAGAAAATTGTCCCATTAACTGCACTCGCATGAAAAATGAGGGCGTTACATTTCTTATCTTTACCAATACAAGATACAGGTCACTTTATTTTGTTTGCACCGTTCCATGTGGTTAAAGAGAGTTACACTGAAGGATGCTGTAAAAGGAGATGCAAATAGAAAACAATTGCATCACAAATAAAGATGTCCGAGGAAAGCTCAAATAACTCTTGGAGTTACAAGGGGGAAGCTACTAAAAAGGAACACCCTTACCTGTTTTTCAATGGCAGTGACAAGGTGTTTATTGTTCTCATGCCTGAGACAATTCCAAAACTTTAAAAGGTACTGTCCTAAGGAATAGCCTTTGACTGTGGAGTCAACAACAAGCTGGACATGCCTGTGGCATTTTGTAAGTGGCCTCTCCCAAGCTGGCAAGAGAGGCAAAACTGGAATAGAGAGAACCTGTGAGAAATGGGAAGGGGACATACGAGTTAAGGTTCTGGTGTCAAATCTTTGCTTTCTGTGCTACCTGTTTGCTGAGAGAATAAAGCTTTGCTTTGAAGGAGCTGCCACTGAAGCAGATTAGTTAGCTGGTGTCACACAAGAAACTGTTGCTAAATAGGGAGTTTCAGCTCATAAACATAGTTTAGAAGTGACAGAATGCAGTGGCATGTTTCTGTGCAGAAAGACTAAGTTAATGAAAATTGCCGGAGGGATGCACTTAAGAGTTGCTACCAAGGCACCTCATCCTGTAATGGTGACAAGCTCCTTGATTCATTTCCTGAGCCATATCCATTCTTGCACTTAATGTGGTAACTGTTCTGTGAAAAACTAACATGATTATCCAATTAAAGTCTGCTTAAAATAATGCATATGAACTGAGGAAAATTAGGGTTCTGTGGGCAGCAAACCTACCATCTCCTAACATGTGACACTTTCACTTTTCCAAATTGCTGTTCTTTGTGTTAGTCTAAAAAACTAAACACCTCTGCAACCTTTATGTAGAACTCTTCTAAGTCCAAATGGTTTAGGATTAGGGAAAGAACCTTGATATCCACAACACCACACGCTGCCACCAAAGCTTCCTCAGGATTCATCAGCAGTAGAGTGATGTTCTTTAAATGCAGCAATCACTGGAGAAATAAAGCAAACCCTTTGTCAGTGAGTTTTATAGCTTTTTTTAATTATTATTTTTTGACCACAGAGCCTCTTTGAAAAGACTGTGCTGTAATACCCAGGGACTTTCTGTCTCTCACTCTCAGCCCAATCACTCCATCCTTTTCCCTTTCTTAACAACCTAAGAGTCTTACTTCAGGAGTTCATTTTTAAGTCCTGGTCCTTGCTCATGGTTTCTTTCTCCCAGCATCCTCACATCTCTGCCTCAGTCCCACACACCATCCCTACAGGCTACTACTCTTTCATTCTTATCACAGGCTCTTTATTAAGTTCCACTCATCCTCTTGTCTGCACAACCTGCATCCTAATAATGGGCTCTTCTTATCGTACATGTTTATGGGTGGGGCCCATCAAATCCTTGGCAAATCCTTTGCCAAACTGCAGGTATAGAACATGGAGAGTTTCTCAGTCATGCAACCCAACAATATTTTTTTAAGGGAAGCAAAATGTATTTTTTTGCCAACCTCATTTTGCAAACTGACTGAACTATTTTAAGAATTAGCTTCAGGCTGACACACCAATCACAGAAAAAGAGTCATTACAAATTAGCTAATATTTGACAGGTACAGGCATCAAAAGTAAGGTTGTATAATGGACAATGCTGGACCAACTTACCCATAGGCATTACTGTTTCCACTGCCTGTTTCTGAAGCTGAGTTTCTCAGTTTTTCTCTCAAAAAAAACCCATCAGGAGCAAAAGTATCAAAAGTATGATGTACTTACTGTAGTTGTGGACAAAACTGAATGCTTTTTTTTTTTTTTTTCCCCTTTCCTTCTTTGCTCATTTCCCTGCAGGATTCAAGAGAAAAACCCACACTATTTCAAGAGCTTCAGTGACTGTACAATAGATGTGTCTATTTCTTTAGGGTCTTAACACAGAGCAAAAACTGAAACTCTTTTTTTCCTCTATCAATTGACTTTTTAAAGCCTCCCCAGGAGGAGAAAGAAGCCATTGAAGGGGGCAAATATCAAGGTTAAAGAACAAAGATAACAGGTCAAAACCACTTCTGTTTACATCAGCATGCTCTGGACCCATGTATCAGAGAATACATCAAAGCCACTACTAATGCCAGCTCTAGATAGCTTTTCTAGCAAATGAAATGTGGAAATATTTTTCTGACTACCATCTAAACTAAAACAATTGCAAAGCACTCTCATTTCATTGGGAATATTTGATCTTTCAATCTTTTGTAGTAACCCTGGCCTTATCCAAAATAAATGATGTCCATAGGAGAATGAGACTAGCAATGTTATTATATTATATTAACTATACCCTGCCTATGTAACCAAATCCCCTAGCTGTTGCTTAATTTTTTAATATGTTAATACTTAGGTGCACTCTAAGGCTGTTTACAAAAATGAAAACTAACAGAAGTATGTCTGTTCTTTCCAAAGCATCCAGGTAGTTGCTGATCCCATACACCTCCTTCCCCTCCCTCCCCCTCTCTCTGTGAATTGATTTACTCCATAGCATCCTTGGGAAGCAGACAGTTATGATCATTTCCATTTTGGAAGTCAGGAGGTTTAATGGGAGAGGTTGTGTGATTTGTCCAAGGCTTTGCAAAAGCCCTAAGGCAAACTGAGAAAAGAATCCACTTCTCTTGACCTCCATGTCTGTGTCTTGTCTACAAGGCTGCCTGTCTTCCTACCAGCTGACAGACTACCGACAAGGATGAAGGCCTTATTGATCCCATAGTTAGATGCTGAAAAAACACCATTATTTAGCATCAGTTGGTTTCAGTAGGAGTCATGTCCCTTGCACAGAATTTGACACTAAAAGGTATTAGTTTTTAAGCCTAAATATGCCTGGAGAGGTAGTCAACATCAGAACATGATACGTTGCTGGTTAATAAATAACAAACACATAACTTTTTTTTTTTTAAACAAATAAATGTGGATGTGATACATGGGGATCCTTTGACAGAGTAGGGGTGTGTTATCCTTTGCACAGCAAGCACAGTGATACAGTAGCTCGTCGGTGCACAGCTCAGAGGAGAAGCCAAAGCTCCGGGTAGCTCTGAGCAGTGCAACACAGGCCATGGGACATGCCCCTCCCGTGCCGCTCTCTCACAGAACACAGTTCCCTCTTCACTGGCTCATCAGTCAGCGCTGCAAAAATAGCAAAATCAATTGAAGTCGTTGCATTTCAGCAAGCTGAGTATGAGCAGGGGCAGACATGTGCGCAGCTGATCACACCCCTCCTTCGCAGAGTCACTGTTTTTTCACCTCCCAACCCAATTTCAATTGTAAGACAGTCTCTTAGGCCATCTCCTCTGACAGGCGGAATCCCACTCAGGGGAATTTGGACAGAGGCTCTCAAAACAGCAACGATTTGGAGCTGAGTAATCTACAGAAGAAGGCAGAGGAAGATAAGCACATTGTTAGTTCTGGTCATATGCAATCGAAGCTGACAAAGCATCCATCATCCTGTACAATATTAGCCTTTAAATATTCAGCTTTATCAGTTCACCCATTCCTAATCCATCATTAACTACCCCATGAAGCCTCAGCTGATTAGCCCCACCTCTGCAGCTCAGCAACCCATTAACTATTTATTATTTGTATTTAATTGAACACTAGTAGCAGTGGAAAACTCCAGTCAGACATGTTTTAAAACCGGAACAAAGGAAATGGTCTCTTGCCTAAGGATTTCAAGCTTTGGGCAAGAGTGAAATGACAGCCATGCTGAACAAAGGCTTACCTACATGCCCGTTGCTAAACTCCATACCCCACAAATCTGTAGATTTTCTATGGATTTTTTTTCATCTCAGTATCCCTTAAGATCACAGAATATGATGTGATTTGGGAGAGTCCTGTAGACAAAAAATTAGGATTTTGTATCTTATGTGAAAAATTTTTTGAAAACTTTACATAAATCATGTCACAGTTACTAAATAATGAGAGAAGCCAGGGATTAAAGACACAGTATGGCCAGGAAAACTGGCAAACATACACAACATGCACATTTTATATGAATTTAAATAAATAAATGGAAACATTTCTCAGTCAAAATGCTTACTTCTCAGGGACTAAATATATGTAATTTATGAAGTATTATTATATTTTGCTGCTTGCTATTCACATACACAATCAAAACACAGATATAATACTAAATGTTCTTCCTGCTAGTAGTACTGGGTTTGTACACTTTTTTACCATTCTCTTTTTATTAGGGTGGAAGTTATGTATTCTCCACCACGGCTGGCTGCACATTTCCTCTGAAGTAAACTTTGCAGAAGTCACTGGTGCCTTTGTTAAGTCCACATGGGTTTCTGTACCTTTCTATTTATGAGCCGCCTTTGAAGCATGCCTGAAAGATCCAGTTCCCAAGAAAGCCACTACCCACTCCCTGAGCACTGCTGCACAGCACGAGTGCTCTGCACCAGAGACTCAACACTGGCTTGCTGTTTAGTGATCAACCTTAAAGCCCAGAACACTTGAGAGAACAGTTTTCTAGGCGACTTCTCACCCTCTGTGCCGACTCACTGCCTTGCTACCAGGTGGACAGTAGTGCCGGTCTGGGAACCAAAGCTCAATATATGAAAGTGAACCTGGATGATAAAGAAAATGGTTTTTCAGTTTGAGTTAGAAACCCCAAGTTAAGCAAAACCATTTGAATCTATCCTTGTAATTCTGCAATTCTGACCAAAATAATGTATTTCAAGTATAACTACATGGCTTTGGGGAAATTAAAAGGTATTAATCTGTGTTATACTGTACTATCAACACACTTTCCCCCAGTCTAGGTAAAGCTTTCTGTTAAGTACAGGTGTTTGCCAGAACTATTCCCTCTGCTTTTTAATCTATCCTGATGTCAATCCATTGGAGACAAAGTGTGATGACTCTCAGGTTACCAGGGGTGATGCATTTATATTTACCTGGCACTTGACTCACTTGCATCTGTTCTCCCTTTAATCCCTGTACTTAAAATGCCTGCCCGCCTCTTCAATACGTGCTTTAAAATAGTTAATATTTGGACATTATAGAAATCATAGTTGCTGCTGCAGGAGGACAGGAGAAAGAAAACTTGATCTAGGCAAGCACAGTTAAGTAACCTATAGAAGGGAAATCGTAAGCTACTAATGCAAAATAGAATATAAGAGAATAAAAGAGAATATAAGAGTCAGATTAAAGGAACATTTGCAGTAGTATACCATCTCCCATAAGAGCCAGTAGGAAATGCTTAAGGGAATAGAATGAGAAATCAAGCAAGTACAGAGAAATATGTCCCGTGGTATGCCAGTCCAACTCCCACCTGACCACATTTTAGACGCTTCTTGAGCCAGATGCCCTATCAAGTCTATCATGTTTAATAAATGAAAACACAGCTATTTCCCAGATCTCCCAAGTCTGTCTCTTCTAAGCTTTTCTTTGAAGCTGTTTAGACTTTTTCTCCCCCAAAAATTCTGTGGACATGTGTTCCATAGTTCTATTGTGCATTACACGGAAGAATCCCCACTTCATTATGTTTATTTTAAGCCTTCTAACTGGTACTTTGCATTCAGAACCAATGAGGCATGCCCAAGCTACTCTTAAAGAACCTTGAATACATCTCCATCCATTTCTGTTTTATTAATTCCCCTCATCTTCCTTCTTTCCTCTCTAATTCCCTCTTTCCTTTATCCTCATTTCTGGAGGGTGTTACAGGCTACAAAGGCATCTGATTTACAAATGTATGCCTATTACACGCCAAAATTCAAATGACCAAAGCATGGCAGTCCTTCAGAGACACACTCTTCCACAACAGTGTCACTTACTTGTAAGTTTAGCCTTAAACTTAGGCATCTCAGTTCCTTTCTGAACTCTTGAGTGACAGTGACCTGTTTTTCAGAGGTGCTTAGCACCCACCACCTCTTGAGGGGAGCTGCAGGCACTCCACAAGCACAAGAGAACACTTTTATGCAAAACATCTGCCTGGCTCTGGGCACTCAAGTATTAAATTGTTATTCTGGATACAGCTTCACAGTGTAGTGACACAGGAATTCGTCAGCCCTGGAGTGAAATTAAGAACCTTAGGACTGGCAGTGCAACCCTGACGTATGGTGATTTAAGGTAAGCACTACTCTTGAAATAAATACTACTAAATGTGAATCGTGCCATTTTTTCAGGATCAGTGGCAATTGCTACAGAGGAGAATCATCTTACAGGTTGTATACTATAAATATATACATCTTTGCTATACCAGGAGTCCTGCTGGGACATCTGATTTTCAGCTCTGTACCTGTTTCTACAGTAAAACATGCCAAAACTTTAACTTACATGTTCACCTGCACAATCATCTAATAGACACACTTTCCATTTGCCCTTTAATTTTTCCTCTTTCTCTGTTTCTCTCTTGGAATTTGCTCAGACCTATTCCCTAGCCAGAAGTGGGTGGTTTTTTTCCTTTGGTGTACTCCTCCTTGCATTTCTTTTTGCTTTCTCGCCACCTTTCTATGTGTCAGCCTGTGAAAAATTGAGGAACTGGTTTTATTCCAAGCAAATTAAAATGAACAGAGGGTACTAACAAAAGAACTATTTCTGTATATTTACTAACTCATAGGCGTACCGTGGAGACTGTAAGGTGAAGAGTCCTATCTGGACCTCTCACCAGGGAATCTTTCACGACTTAGAACAGGGAACAAATTATGAATAAAAATGTATTCCTCTGTGCCATGTGGATACACAGAGAGACCCTCCATGTCTTGCAACGTGGGGATGATGCAAGACCCCCTGTACGAGCCCAGGGGAGGTATGTTACAACCAGCCAAAAGGTAACACCCACTTCCAAAGCAGAGAAATTACCTTTTAAGGCAATAAATGGACAGTAAATGAATATTCAACAACTGATACCAAAGGGTACAAAAAAGCGCGGTTTTCAAACAGCAGTGTGCTCTTTGTATGATTCAAAGGTGCACCCAGCGCTAAAATGGGTACCCAGCACTGCAATAAAAATCTTTTACTATATTTCTTTGTCCTGCAGGTATTTTTACCATCTTCAAAATTCCAAAGAAAAAGTAACATATAACAAGCCTTGTTCCAGTTCTTCTCCCGAATGACATTCAGAACTCCTGCTACTTTTGTACACTCTCACCATTTTAAGCTGCTTTCCCACATGCTGCCTTTCACGGAACACCTTCCATCCACTGATTTCCGAAGCACAGATGCTTGTTCGCTTTCCATGATGGCAACAACAGCTCTGAAAGAAACATATCGTGTCTCCTCCTGCAATTCATGCACAAATGCCTGGCGTGTTCTGCCTGGAGAAAGCCTTTCAACTTTGAATTTCCTTGCTTTTGTGGAATCCGTGAAAAAGCCTGGTAAATTACAGCTTTGGCAGTTATTTCAAATAACTTTATTTGCAGTCAGCTGAGGGAAAATCTGTCTATGGTGCCATCCCCGTGTTCTTTCAAAGGTCGTTGGTGTTTCATGAGGGAGCTCAAAGTCAAGCTGGTTCAAAGGGAGGCTCACATTTCATTTTTTTCCAAGAAGGTTAGATTACATGTTCTAATGGTGACATGACTGTCCTACAAGACATAAGAGCTGAGTTCTAGTTGAGGCCACGAGTCTCTTCAAGTACATATGTTTTGTCACTTAATCTCTCTCCCGATGATTTCTCATCTGCAAAATAGCTGTAATACTAACTGGCACTTGTAATATTAGTTAACAACAGACAAGAAGACCCCAACTAATCTTATGGCTGAAAACATTTTGAAGTTCGCCTTGGACCTTGTTCTGGTGTTGGCAGTTCAGGCAAAGCCAATAAACCTCAGTCTACAGCTCCTAGCACCAGGGCTCAAGAGATACTAGCTGTGACACATGTACAGTATGCAGAAAGCAATTTCTCACATTGTCCTGGGGCATGGGAAGAAGCAATCATACAGAGCTTTGGCTCTGAGAGCCATTCCTGCCTGAGCTTGCAGGAATGGTGGTGCACCTAGGGACCTCTAGTGATACTCAGAATAAACCCCAGTGTGGCAGGGTTTGTCATGTTCACGTGGGCAGGATTTCAATGCATGGTAATAAAAATACACGTCGAGTTCCTGACCCTCAACTCCCAGAACTTATCCAAAACTGAAGTCTCATGGCAAGCCTTTGCTGGGCCATCTGGGTGGGATGGAAAATGCGTGTTACCATCTCCTATCTGCACCCTCTGGTGACCTGAAAGGGAGTGGTGAAAACATGTCAATTCTGCTTTAACCAGTAGCCCTGTGAAAAGAAATCGATAACCCCACCTGAGTTCAAGAATCTTGGATGGAGATGGATGCATACACTGGTCATGTTTTAAGGCAAAAAGTCCTGTCTGTGTAGAGAAGGATTCTCAGGACTGTCTTTGAGCAAAATCCATTTTTGGTTATGGCAGTAAGAGACATAGATTATTATAATTAATGTTACATGCATGATTTAATTAAGAAAAGCCACACAGTTCAGGAAAACAAAATATTTCCAGATAATAGTATTACTGATTACTTAGAAGATCATAAATCAAAGCAAATTTAATAAGATACAGAAGAATAGGCTGACAAGAGTCTCATGAATTTCAGCAAAGAAATGTGAAATCCTGCACCCAGATCAGGGCAATATTTGTAGTAATACAGGTGGGGAAGCAGCTGGAGAGCAGCTTTGCAGAGAAGGCCCTGGGGACCCTGGCATTTAACAAGCTGAACATGAGCCAGTAGTGCAGCCTTAAAGCAAAGAAGGCTGGGGTGTATTAGGAAGAGAACTGCTGGCAGGTTGAGGGAGGTGATCCTTCCGCTCTGCTCAGCCCTGGTGAGGCACATCTGCAGTACTGGGTCAAGGTCCGAGCTCTCCAATATAAAAGAGACATGGACACACATGGAAACAAGGACAGTGAAGGGCCTTGGAGATGATAAAGGGACTGGAGCATCTGATATCTGAGGAAAGGCTGAGAAATTTAGGACTGTTCAGTCAGGAGAAAGGAAGGGCCAGGGAGATGTACAATCAACGTGTATAAATACCTGACTGGGGGGAGGCAAGCAGAGAAGGTGGAGCCAGACTTTTCACAGTGAAAGGACAAGGGATACATAGGCACAAATTGGAATACAGCAAATTCCACATAAACATAAGAAAAAGAGTTTTTTAATGTGAAGATGTTCAAATCCTGGAACGGGTAGCCCAGGGATGCTATGGAGTCTCCATGCTTGGGGATATTTGAAATATGAGTGGACACAGAACCAAGCTGCTCTGCTTTGAGCAGGGAGATGTCCAGAGGCCCCTTCCAATCTCCACTATTCCAGGATTTGCTGAATACATGCCCCAGTCCTGAATATATTTCTACATTCCCAAGATATGTTTGGATTTTTTGACAGACTTTTCACCACAGAAATGTGAAGGCATTGCCATTATGTATTAGGATGTGTAAAATTAATGTAAATATAACTGAGAAGATCAAGAGATTGAACCACATCATGTAGGATTCCAGGGAATTACTGACAGGAAAGCAAGCATTGCACTAGAAGAGCAATTGTCAAATAATGACGTGTCAAAGCCCAACTTTACCCAAGTCTAAATCATTTAGTATATGTCAGTGTGGGTACCTTGACATGTTTCTTTGGGTCCAGGAAAGAGACGAATAACCCACTGTATCTTGTATATGCAATGGAGGAGGTAATTTGGACAAAATGATGTAATGTTTTTGAAAGCATGACAAGAAAATTAAGGATGAAGAAACTCCAGAATGACTTTATGAATGAAAAGAACCTGCAGTTGCTTTCCATCCCTTGACAGATGTTACTTAAACTGACATACTATATCGTGCAACAAAGCTCATAGGAGCAATACAGGATTAAGAGAAAATGTATAAACCGCTATCGTTATTGTAAAAAATTCTTTTATTCTTCACAGAAAGACAAAGAGACGAGGGATGCCTTTTAGGAAGAACTTGATGTAGATTGCTGTAACAATATTTTTAGGAATCAGCACAATTAATCTATCCATAGAAAAGGTGAAGTTAAAAAGAAGGGAGAACTTTCTACTGTATCCCAATCCTACACAACCTCTCCCCCTTACTTTCTGTCATTGTAGCATTTTGTAGACTTACACATTTAAAAAGTAAAACAACTCTCTCCTGCCTTTTTCTGCATGGAGAAGTAAAAGAATGGGAAGGGGTTGAAACAGTAATTGTAAAAAAATTATAGGTGAAGAAATGAATGTGCCTTACCTGTAAATATTCTCAGTTCACCTCAGAGGGAGCTTTACAGCTGCAGAACTGCTGCAGAGGGAACAAGTCGCCACCTCTCACTGGTTTTGCTTCTAACTTTGACAGTTCCCTGCTTTCAATGTATGTGAAAAACAGGGGCATAACACACAGAGGGTAGGAGGGTATCTCAGGTCAGAATTCTGGGTATCAGCCACAAGGAAAGAAGCAGCCCTTAAGAAAGTAGGGCTTGGTATATGCTCTTACCAACCTGTATGACAGAGCAAGCAGACCACTATTTTGGATGTAATAGAACTTCAGAAGATTCACAAAATCTCTTTTGAAAAGATTCATTTCATTCTGAGGTACAGGCCTTAATCATAATAAAGTGTAGATGCTGCAAACCCATAGTTTGTCATGGCAAAGTTATAATGAATCTAAGTTTCTTGCTCATCCGTGTGTCCTTAATTTCCTTCTACCTTATCTTTGGCATTATATTCAGTATGAAAGCATCACAGAAGAGTCACTGAATAACCATAGTGATAGAGCGTAGCAGTAGACAGATGATAAAGATTTTTCCCCAAAGTCAATACTGGTGTCCAGGGCATATTTTTACTAATTTGGTTTTTAATGCATTGCTACCTTTTAAAAGGTTTAATATTGATTGATTTTTAATGGTGTGGGTGTTTTCTGATGCTAAAGACTTCTTCTTGCTTACTTTTGTTGTGGGGAACACGAGAAATTAAACAAGAAACAAATATGCATTGTAACAGAAGACTTGAAAATATTTAACAAAGAATCAGAGCAACAAGTTAACATTTCTTTCTGTTTATCAAGTTATGTGAAGACTCAGGCCGGAAGAGCAATTGTTATTAGTGATTTCATAAGTTAAATAATTTCTCTCTGTTTGCCAGAACTTAAAAAAGCATTAACAGTTTTAACACTCTGCCTTGCCACTAAACTGTACAGATTTGACACTGATACCCCAAAGGAGCACAAAAAAAAATGAAATATTCATCAATATTAAAACACCTCCAAACATTTCCAGACCTTTGTATTTGGAAAGCCACCACAACTCCCATTACAACTGCTATACTGTGTCTGCTTTGGAGAGGCTACCTCTTGACGTTTTGCAGAACAACCTCTAATCGTCTAAGGAAACTCTGGATTGAGATTAGCATCCACAGCAGAAAGGAATCTACAGACACTACTGTGTGTGAGTAATGCTGTGGGCATTCGTCCAAGCTCAGGAACGAGTGGAATGTACCCCTTCTCAAAGGTATGGGTGAAACAACATCACTGAAGTGGATGTGGGGATTGGGTGGGACTGAAGCAAGGGAGAAGTTCACATGTGTACAAAAATGGCTGGGTGTACTTAAAAAAAGCTCCCAAGTATGGGGAGCCAATTTTTTAATTATTCAGTGCATTTATGTGCTTCTAATGGCATAAAAAAAAAAATCTATCATCTGAGCATGCTATATAAAAAGTCAGAGGAACATTTCCACTTCAAGTCAAATGAAAAAAAAAAAAAACAACATAACAGAACTTTTCTGTGAACACACATAATGAATTTCTTTGTTTAATTAAACACTCCAGCAAACCAAATACCTGAATTTAAATTGCTGTTTATTATGGCTTCCCCTCGGATACAGGTGAAAGAATGCATAGACATATGTTTTCCGCTGTGACTGGCATCACTAAGCAACCTGATGGAGAGCTGACAACACCCTGGCAAGCAGGGAATAATAAGGTAAATTATCAGTAATATTAAGAGAACCCAGTTACAAGCCGCACCTTTACTTTGGCCTGTAAAGTCTGGGGCTGTTACTTGGGGAAGGCAAAAAAAAAAAAAAAAAAAAAAAGAACAGCCTCCCTTTTTACCTTCAGCTTTCCTCTTGTGTGTGTGGGTGTACGTGTGGGTTTATACGTGCATAAACGCACGCAGACTGGTGCTTAAAGACGTTTCGGTGTCCGAGGCTCCATGATGCGTTTCCCACCGTGCTGAGAAGGAGCGGGACAGGAGGGGGAGCTCTCGCCGCGGCCGCTGGGATGCAGGGATGCTGCTCCTCGGGCCGGGGCCGGTGGGGCCGTGGCCCCTTCGCCCGCCTGCCGCTCCCGCCTCCCATCGGGCAGCACCGCGGCTCCGGGAATGACCCCGCTTGTCCCGATTTTGCCTCTGAAACCGTCGCGTTGTTTCCAGTGTGCTCCCAGAGTGCCGTTTGTTTGTTGCCGTTGCCTTCTGAAACCTTTTACTTTGAAGGCGTTGTGCCGCTTGCATATTTACCAGCTGGAAAAATCAGGCCTGCTTGTTTATCTCATTCTCCCCAGCAGGTAAAAGAGAGAAGAAATATCTCAATAATAATATTAAAGAGACTTACACATTAATAGAGACCACACTGAAGAACTTAGAGCAAAGTGTTGCTTTTGTGTTGTCTAAAAAAGCAGCTCTGCTACTTGGATAGGTACTCTTTTAAAACAAGTAAATACTAATAAATAGTTATATGAATAATAGAAATAAATTAAACTCAGGATGATTTATTTTAGGCAACTCATTTGCACTTGTCATTTTATGGACTATATTTGTTTTTCAGAAGTCCAAAATATTGTGTTTGCAAAAATCCAGGTGCAATTTCAGAGCTGGAAATGCAAAGAACAAAAATATGGACCTTGGAAAGGTACCTTGGGTGTAAAACACGCTTGGGCAATGGAAGGAAAAGCTCAGATTCTTGCCATGACTCAGACACAGCAGGGTCCTGAACCTCAGTCTTGCAGGTGACTTACAGACCACTGAAAAGCAGAATCCCAAAGTTTCTTCCCAATTTTGAAAGTGATCATTGAGCTAACAAAAAAAACCAACCAGCTTCAAACCCTTGAAACATCAAGACAATGAGGAACTTTCTCTGTTGCACTGTGGTTAGAGCATGCACTCTAATAGATTGATTTAAAATCACCCCGGAAAGTTCACATGGAATTTGGTCTCAGGAGTAAAATCTTCACTGATTCCCACAGGACCACGATTTTGTCTTTGGATCCAAACTGCTTATTGATACCACATACCCTGGTATCTCTGTCTGGTAGAATAAATCTGAGCCGTTCTATCGATCCAATCAGTCACCTTTATTCACCTGCTTAAGATGTTTGCTGAATCCATACTGAGAACTACTGAAACAGGTTTCTTTACCAAAACTACAGGTTTTCACACAAGAAATATGTGCTGCCGCAGTTCAGTCAATGTATTTAATGTTAGGGTAATGTAAATACCAGATTTATTTTATCATAGCTTTTTGGAGATGTTCAAATCAGTGCCACTGTATGGATGACAAATTTGTGGCTTCCATAGATTCTGATATTCTGCCTCCCCTGTGAATTCATGAGCTACCACTAAAACCTGAAAGTGTTCCTTTTTGTTAGTCAGTGCCACCCCAGTAACAAGTGGAATAATTAGATGGTTTCCAAAACTTATTTCAGTACCTCCAGTGTGTGTCAGATAACGTCTGAGCACTCTAAATGCATGAACTTCTCTGTTGACAGTTGATAGTCCTCCATATGCTATCACTAGAAGAACAACTTCCCAAGAATATGCAGTGTAATAATATGCAATATGTAAAGGTAATAACAGCTACAGAAAAGTAAGAATCGTGACAGTTGCAGAAATAACCTGCTGTCAGATGGAGATATTATTATTAGGACAGAGAGGTAGAACTTCTGTATCCATCCCAATCCTGTATTAGATACTGAGAAAAACAGGATATGCTTTAAGACTGTGGCTTTGATCTGGTGGTTGATGAGATACTGGGGGACTGGAGGTTCTTTTTAAAGAGCTGAGAAAATGAGCCTACTGTCAGGAGAAATAAGTTCACATCTCCATTCAAAAGTATGCAGAAAAATACTGCGGGGAAAAAACCCCACCTGAAAGCCACTACTTAACTTTTGGTGATCAAGAAGTGAGAATCAGCATTCAGAACTGGTAACAAGGGGCATGTGAAGTGCTTCAATTTGCAACAAAACCTTCAGATGTTACTTAGGAAAACTGGACTGACAGATTTGGTCCTGAAGACATTAATTTTGGTCTACTCACTATAACCTACTGAAGTCAATTCACATTATCCAGGCTTGCAAATACATTCTCCAAAGTATCTTCTGACATTAAAGGAAGCTCTGTTTGTGCTACTAGTTTGAGATTGATGTTTTTGACAGATTGTTAGCTCAAACCTGTTAAATTTATGCAGCCAAACAGTGTATATTATTATAATATACAGTATATTATTACAATATACATAGTAGGTGTTGAGAGGTAATCTTCTGATATTTCACTGAGCAAGAATCATTTGAGATAATACTCTGTTTAAGTAGAGTAAGGTTAAGGTTTTCATTAAAACTCTTCTACCCATTCTACAGAGAAACTGTATGAACTGTACCAATATGTCTAATACAAGAATTAATTTTGCCTTTTCCACTAGAATGACTGGATTTATCAGCAGTGTGGTGGCCATTCAATGCAGAATAGTTGTCTAAAGTTGGCTTGCCTTTTCCAGCCAAAGGTTTCAAAGAGCCATGTGAGATTGTGTTTAAAAGCAGCTACCCCTTGTGCTGCCTGTCTTATCGCTATTGTGTGAAAGAATACATTGAGATTAATGGGAATATCTTCTGTACTTGATGAGAGCTCAGCTGTACCGATTCATTTGTAACAGAATACGGTGAACAAAACATAGAGTTGAGGTTGCTGCTGCTGGTGGTGGGGCACAGAAGGAGGGAAACCTCCCTAGTAAGCACTATCCTTTGGAAGTTACCTGTAGGCACAAGTTAGTTTCCACAAGTTTCAGAAATCACTGTATTTTAGAATATTACAAGCAAGAAAAAAAATAAACTTTGGTTTCTTCTCATACTTGCTGCTGGTGGGTCTGAGCAAGACTTTGTGTTCCTGAGGTTCGCAGAATGGACAAAGCCCACAGCACAAACCCTGCTGCAGCTGAACCGCTGCAGCTCTTCACTGCCAGCAGAGCCTTCTCGAGGGTCTCTGCGAGGTCCTGCTGCTCTGCGAAAACAAACGCTCAAGGCTGTTTTTTTCCCAACAATCTGCCTGATTCTTTCAGGCACCGAGGGGAGTGGCAGCACCTTCGCCTCACAGCAGCCGTGACCTTACCACTGCGGATGCGCTCTAGGATTTTACAGACAATGTGGTTGCTATCTCACCTTTTGATGCTTGACGCTCTAACAGCTAAGATTATGCAAAATCCCGATTTCTTCTTATTTTCAGTGTCCCGGGGGAAAATGTGCCTCGTGTCTCTAATTGCTCTGCCATCCGAAGCAGGCAGGCAAGGCTCATTTTAGTCACGAAATGAGCAAAGTTGTGCTCAACTTTTCATGCTGAAAAGTGCCAGTGATTTAAAGCTTCGGAGACAGAGAATGTAAATTAGACATTGTTGTACGCAAAGCGAACTTGTCTTTGACAGGCTAAACAGATATTTTTATGGGGAGCCTACTCATATCCACACGGAACGCAGTTTATCTTTCGACTGTGGGTTTGGGTGCTTTTATAAAGAATGTATCATTTTAAGGTGTACCGCAGTCATAACGAGAAACCCCGTACGATTACAATTTAGACTAACGGAACAATGGACACCCCCGTGCCGTACTGTGTTGTACCGGGTAATCAGGGACTGCCGGGGAAAGCGGGAAAGCACAGCCCAGGAATAATCAATGTATCGCCCCCAGTGTGTGGTGTAACCCGGCACCTCCTCGCTGAAGCGCGTCCCACCAAACCATTCATCCGCACCTCCCCTGCGCAGATAAAGGGAAAAACAGCAGTAATGAGGCGAAGAGACCCCCGGCTGAAGGTGGCGGGGACGGGACGGGACGGGACCCCTCGGGTGTGCTTGGGGGGTGCACGGTCCCCCTCCCTCACCCGGGCTGGGGGCGGGGGCGGGTGCGCGCCGCCCCCTGCGCTCCGCTCCGCTCCCTGCGCTCCGCTCCGCCCGGTGCTCGGCGCGGCGCCTCCCCCCTCCGCGGCTCCCATGGCGGGCAGCGGCGGCCGATTCGGTGCCGGCAAGCCCCGCCCGCCGGCGGTCCGGGGCCGGCCTCCCCCTTCCCTCCGCCGCCCCCTCCGCGGCAGCCCGCCAGCAGCGCCACAGCAGGCGCGGGGCCGGCTCGCTCCGCGCTGCCTCCCGCCCGCCCGCCCTGCCGCTCCCATGCGGGCCGGCGGCGAGGCAGAAGATGGCTGACTCGCCGGGGCACCCGCGCCCCTGCCCGCCCGCGACCCCCGCCCGCCCGCCGCCGCCGCCGCCGCGCTCCCCGGGCCCTCCGCGGCGCCGCCTGCCACCACTGAGAGCCGCCGCCGCCGCCCCCGCGCCCTCCCGGCCCCCCAGAGCACCAGCAGCCATTTCATCTCCACCACCACCACCACCAAGTAGGCGCAAAAAATGGCAGAAATGGAGAAAGAAGGAGACCTCCCGAAAATAAAAGGAGCAGGAAGCCGGCTCACCCGGTGAAGCGGGAGATCAACGAGGAGATGAAGGTAGGTGCCTGTGATGGGGACGGGAGCAGGGTTCCCCCGCCTCCCCTCCCGCCTCCGAGCATGGAGATGAAATAAGAAAGGATCTCTTGTCATTTTTTTTTTTTTGTAGGATGCACTGAATGTGTCTCAACTCCGCCTCCTGGGCTGCAAACAGAGACGAATTCACAGGCTGCAAATCCTGTTCATTGACCAGCTTTATTTATTTTTTAAAAATAACTCTCCCTCGTTGGGCTTCCAAGCTCCGCGGGTGCCAGTGATGAGCCTATTTTTTTTTTTATCTTTCTTTCTGTAGCCATCCTCTCAGGTAGCTGGGAAGCCCTTAAAGTTGGAAAAGAAAGGGACCTCTTTTAAACATTGTATTTCTCTCCTTTTTCAGTAGCCAGCTGCAACTATGTAATTAAATTGTCAAAGTGAAACGTTGCGGTCTGAGCGGCGCATCGGTCTCGCACTTGAGCGCGGAGACCCCTTTTCTCTCCTTCTCCCTCTCGCCTCCTCCTCTGCTGTACCGCTTCGCTCCGCGGTTCATGGCAGCGCAGAGGTGTCGCTGGAAGGTGCCTTGTCCGAGGGCTGTTTTTGATGGAAGTGTATTTACCATGAGGAGGGCTGTCCTGCCCGATGGGAACGGGTGCCAATCCAGCTGTGCTCTGGCGGCCGCTCCAGATGTTGGGATGGCTGCGATCGCACAAAAACGCTATTCTGGGACTTCTTTATCATTAGGTCGCTGCTCCAGGCTTGACCAGTCTGGTTTTTTTGCGCCTGTTTGCCTCGTCTCTTCCATGTCTGTTTGTTTTACCTCTCTAATTCCCCAAAGTTGGTAACGATGTATTGCGAGACTTCAGCTGAACTTGTTGTTGTTAAATACGCAGATAAACTGACTAAAACAGCATAGTCTGGCTACGAGATAAAGCTGCTGAGATTTAATTTGAATATGTCATTTATTAAAAGGCTGATTGTAAGTGGAAGACTGCCTGGAAAATGTCACACGTTCGCATAGTATGTACACTATATAGGCGAGTGTATAAATATGCATGATGCCGAGTGAAAATATCTTTGCTTTCTGGAACATTGATCTCCCCACATAAAATTAAACCGGAACGCACAGTCCCCTCCCCTCTTCCCTCTTTTGCACACCACTAATTTTGGTTAGGTGCCCTTTCCTGCCTAAGGCAGGCGTTCTTGCTCCTGCTACCTGAGTACTGTACGTGTACACGGTTCTGTGTGCACATCAGCTGGAAATGTGGACAAGAGTAGTATTGGGGGAATGAACAAAATAGCGTGTTGATGCATCTCTTTGGAAACAAACTGTAGTAGTTTCAAGTCCAGAGGAGTGGTATTATTCTTTGTGAGATATGTGACACATCCTATTTTCGGAGAGGGCTCTGTGCAGGCACCGGAGAGTCATTGCTCATTGTAATCCCACATAGTTTTGAGGACCGCAGAGGTCTGTAGTACAGGACATTGGCCCCTCAGAGCATCGCCTAATGTGATCTATATGGATTGCAGCTTTTAAGTTTCATAGGTTCTAGAATTACAAATTAGCTAATTTTAATCAAAACATGTGAAATGTTATCCTGGCTGGATATAAAGGCTGACTGTGCTGGATCCTCTGGGTTTGTTTTGTTTACTTTGGCTGCAGGCACACTCAGCGGTTTGGGAGATAGTTGTTCTTCTACAGTATAGCAGATGTTTGTCTGAAAGGGTGAGGAAGAAACAAAAACAACATTGTGTGAAGGAGAAAAATTACATAATTTTAAACTAATGCTTTGGTATTAAGCACTGGCATCAACCTTTGTGTAGAGAGTTTATCTTTTTTCAATCATGTGTGGCTCCTTAAGGTTGGGAACAGCAAGATTTCAGCTGACTTAAAAACTAAAGGCGGGTAGAAATGGCATTTTGAACCCATGTAATTTCTGATTGAGTGTGAGACAGCTGATGGCAGAACCTTTCATAGCCCACCTTACAATATAAACCATGCTATGTATGCTATGCATTTTTAGTAGGACAGTTGGCTGCTATCACCTAAGAAGGGGAAAGGGTGGGGGAGAAAAAAAAAAGTGGTTTGACTTTTTGACTGGTTGAGAAAGTTTAAATCCTGTGGTGATCATCTATCCTTTTTCTTTACCAATGAATTAAGATGTCTAGTTGTTCTTCATAAACCCAAGGAATACAATAATGTAACAAATTGGTTACAGTGTGCAAAATGTTTGCAGTGAAATGACAGAGGGAGCACAATGTGCCCTTGTGTAGGTTCGTATCTGTAATGTTCAAACAGGCGACTGTTTCCCTTCATCTGAACTGCTTTCATCTGGACCAGTGTAAAATAAGCTCTGGTAAGTAATCACTGCAGAGCAGAAAGAAAGGAATGTATACAGCAGTAGACAGCCTAAGCTGTAAAAACTGTAACCCGAGTATCAGCAGCAGATCAGATATCAAGGCTTTAAGGTAGGGGAAATGAAAGAGATGAAGGGGAGGAAAAGACGAGAGAGGGAATGGAAAAGTCAGCTTGGAAAGTGAAGGAGAAGTAGGAGGGCCCCCTCAGGGAAATTTGGCTCAGGGATTAGGGAATTTTATCATGGTGTACAGTGACCTACTCAGGTTTCAGCCCACATTGGATCAAATTGCCTCCCTTTGCTAGCAGAAAGAAAAAAGACTGGTGTATATGTGATTTCCACACCCCCCCCCCTTTGGATAATAAAAAGGCCGTTGGTACAAATGTCTATTTTAAGTACAGCAAATGCAAGGCACTATGAATGAGCAATAAAATTACCTCATCACAGAGACTTCCTTCGAGATTTGCTGTTTGATACAGTCAGATATTTACTCTAGAAGGATCACAACACCCAACTGCTTGGTTTGGTGTTTTCCAACATGACTGTATGGATATTCAGGTTGCTCACTCTTTCCTTATGCCAGATATTGAGTTACATTTTTGTTATCACTAACCTAATGTACACGATGGTTATAACAAATTTTAATTTGATACAATGTTGTGTGCAAAAAGTACATGACTCTGCACAGTTTTCTGATATTACGTTTCAATGAAAAATACATTTAGGAGGAACTGTTTTGTCTCGCTGTGACCTTTACAACCACTCTTTCTTTTTCTCTAGTTATTTTTTCTTCTGTCCCCCTTCTTTGTTCAGATGACACTTTCCATTTTTTTTTGTCCCAGAGGTAGCATTCACTTTACGCTTTGGAGGAAGAGCAGATAGTTATTCTGAAATTCAGTTCAGTGCCATTTCTCACTTACTGGTGAATAACAACACACCTAATAGATCCAAAGCTGTCATAATCAGGGAACCCAGTACTATTTTAAGACCAAAATATTTTTTACAGTTTAATTGATTAAAGCACTTGTCGAGGCACAATGATGGCTCCCCCAACCATCCCTCCTCAGCTTATTTCCATTTGCCATTCCTACTGCCAGGAAGCTTAGGAGGAACAGCAAGGTGCTCTGAAATGTTGTGAAGTGAGGTTACATCCAGTACTGGATTGCACTGGAAGTTCTCCCGCACAGATGAGACAATGTATCCATGTGTCTCTAACAGTTGAAAGGCAAGCAATTAATTTGCACTGTAATTTCACAGGGCTGCTTCATGTGCCCAAGGAGTTTACCATCTATGAATATTCTCAATAACTAATTTGTATCTAAAACTGGGCTTGGTTCCTGATGCCTAAAGCTTAGGACAGCCCCATCTGTTATCATTTAATAGTAAACTCATCAGAATGTCTTTCAGTTTAGTGTTTTAATATTCCCTGTTTGGCATTTGAAAGTACTACTGTCAGAAGGAGGAAAGCGGTGAAGCAGGCGTAGCAGCCTTGCGCCTGGAGCGAGCCAGTTCGCTCAGAACGCTCAGTAGGTTCCAAGGAAACTCCTCCCTTCTCTCCTGAAAAGCAAAAAATGTTTTTGGGAAAGTGAAAAAGCAGGCAGGCTTTATCAACTGCGTTATTTCAGGTGGAGGGTGTTTCTGTGGAGTCTTATGTGGAAGGGGTTTTGAGGGATGGCTGTGAAGGGGGTTGCGTTGTCTGCACTGGGAGCCTCACCTGCCAGTGTGCTGTAGAAATAGCACTTCACTGAACAAAGTGGGTGAAACAGAACCAAACATGTATATGGGAGAACAAAGAAAAGTAAAGCATCAAGGAATTTTGGTCTCTGATAGTGTAAAACTCTAACCATCGAATTCAATGTGGTGACAGCATAAATAAGCAAAGAATGTGAGGGCTGGAAAAAAAAAAAAGTTTGTGTTGTGACTACAGAAACATTTTTATTTCTTGATGCAGTGAAAGTGAAAAGTGAATTTGTGGGTCTCTGCACTGAGTGGGTTATGCAGGCAAGGAAATGGAATGGAGCCACTGTGCTTCCTCCCAGATCTGAAATAAACATTCAGCAGTAAAACCTAGAAGAAAATGAGTCTGACAGACTCATTCTCCCCTGCGTTTCCTGCCTCCGTGTTTGCCAGGCCTCGTTCGGTGAAGCCAGGCCTTGCCCCCTGTGAATAAGGTTCGTAGAGAAGGAAAGACAAGAGATCTAAGATGGAAAGAGAAGCACGACTTAGCTTCAGAATGTATTAATTAGCAAAGATTTGGGAAAATGATGCATCGTAATGTAAAAAATCAAACTGTAGGTGTACTGTTACGATGAAATGAATCCTAAAGTGGGAAGAAATGTGATTATATTTTTACTACCTAGCATATAAGTCAGTCTCACATAGGAAAGAAACCACAGTCTGGCAAGTCAACACACTCTTCTTCATCTTTCACATGAATAGGAAGCAAATTCAAGTAGAAATACCAGCAAGCATAATAGTTAGTTATCCTGGCTCTTCCAGGAGGGACCATATTTCTGTGTAGTACAAGAACTGAGAAATCACACATTGTCCTGCAAGGGTGATAAGTGGTTTGGGATTTAGCAGGGAGCAAAACCCAAACTGCTGTCCACTGAGAAGGAAGGGCTTTGGCAATGGTGTGTGACGGGCCACCAGAGCATTTTTGGCCCAGTTTCTTTGGCAGGGATGAGCTGGTTGGGATGTGCAGCAGCCATAGTGAATGCTCTGGCGGTTTGTCAGCTGTGATGGTGCGCTGTCAGCTAGAAGAGAGCAGGAGGTTTGGCTCTGGCAGGATGATAACCAACTGCCTGGGTGCGCTGGCAGCCGAAGAGGTGGTTGGTGCTTCCACTGTGGTCTCAGAAGCTTCTCTGCTTGGTGTGTGCAGAAAAGAACTGAGCTTGGCATGGCAGAGTGAGTGCAGAAGGATGCAGGACAGGATTTCTGTGGTTGTCTTCTCAGCTCTGACACTGACCCACACTGTGAGTGGCACCAGAGTTTGATCTCTTGGTTTCCCCACAGGGGACTGAGTATTGTCTCCCTGTCAGGATGAAGTTAGGTTCCAGTGTGGTACATTTGCAATGAACTCTGTTAGCCCCGTGGGGCCACTCCTGCTGGGAGGCTCCCTTTGGGCTCAGTGGAATTTGCTCTGGACTTAAGGGTCCCAGGTTAGCAGTGTGATTGCTGACTTGGGATTTTTTGGATGATGAGCAAGGTTTTCCCTGGTGTCCTGGTCTTCCACATCATCCCAGCCCTCTGGCATGACTGTGGTGTTGAGGTGGCAGCCTCCATCCTACAGACACTCCACATTATTTTGGGGAATGAGTCTGAAAGTAAGCGTGGACCATCTTAGTGCCTCTGCTGTCCTGTTCCTGCAGAAGCCTTTGAATTGCAGCTCCTTGCACATCCTCCATCTGGTCACCTAGACTCACCTTCACATCTCCTCCCTGGTGTTTGGCAGTTCCATTATTTCTCAGTTCCACTGGCTCCTGTATAGCTTGCTTCATCACTACTGCTTCTACTTTTCTGCTCCAACCTCACGTCCCAGATTATTGCTTTTCTCAAGCCTCGCTGTTACAATCATCACTCTTCCTTTCACTGAGCTTTTGAAGCTTGTACGTCTTTCAGTGAGGTTTGCTCTGTGTGTACAGGTTGTGTATTAATTTGCTTTCTTCCTTTCCTTAACTTCATCAAGAACTTGACTTTTTTGTGTCTTTTTTTTTTTTTTTACTGTTCCCCCCTCTGTATTCACATAGAGAAAAATTATCTCATCTCTTCTCATCATTTGTGTTTTGATTACGGCTACCACACTGGTCTTTACAAATCCCATCTTGTTACCTTGTCTTGAATCCATGTAGATTGTGTCTATCATTGAAATTGAAGAAGGGAATATACATGGAAACCATGAATTCATAGCGGTCAGCTTCGGGACAGCAGCTTCAGCAAGGACATGACCTGTGTGACCATATTCTCAATTGTCAGGATGTCAGACATCACTGCAAATGGGTATTGTAGTCAGGAGTCTGAGGGAAGGTGATGTTGTTATTTGAATGCCCATCTATGCAAGAGTTAAAAACGCATTTCTCAGGTTTGACTGTCAGCTTGCTGTGGATGGGATCATCCTTTTGGTGTGCTGTGTATGAAGTGTGGTGTAATGAAGCTCTAGCTGTTAGTCACTGAGAGAATGGTATTAAGCCTGATCTGCATCACTGTAATAGGTAGGACGAATTATAAGGGAGAATGGCTTCTTTTTTTTTTTTTTTTTTAGCCAAGCCACTCTTGTTGAGAAAGCATGGTGTAAAAATGGTACCTACTTTTGTTACTGCTAATATGCAACCTCATTGTACTCGCACTGAAGTTAGCAGGAAAGACCTCAGTGATTTATTTTTTTATAAGAGAGTCAAGTCTCTATGATGGGTAGTTTCAAAGTCCAATGTATTTCTTGTCATTGTGAGTGTTCATTTTCTTGTATCACTTATCATAAACAATTTAAGTGAAACTTGAAAGGTACTTAAACTTTGTGCTGTTACAAACTCAATCATCACTTTGGCTACTTTCTGAAGAGACATACACATGTATTAATTTTCAAGAAAAAAATAATCATATGTACAACCTTGCTTACATATTCCTTGACGAGTAATTAGAAATTACTCGTTGCCTGAGTTGATCAACAGTGCAGATAAAACACAAAGCACCCTCAGGAGGCAAATTTAGAGCTACCCAATTAATTTGGTTGTATGGGATTTAAGTCCATAAGACTCTGTCAATTGGTCTCTACCTTGCTAGATTAGTCTCTAGGGCTGTGTCTCCATAGCTGAAATTCAGCAAAGCAAGGGAAGCTGGCAGATCTTTCCTTCAGGCCCCCATGGACCCTTTCAGGATGTTCTGGGTGAGCTGCAGTGGTGAGATTTTACTCCGCAGTTTCAGGTCATTTTGTTATTGGGTTCCCATGGGTTAGAAACAGTGTTAGTGCGTTGGGACTCTTCAGCACTAGGAGAGTTTTCTAAAAAGCTAAGAAAAACAACAAAAAAAAACTTTTAGAAAAATTTCCCATTTTCACTAGTACTTAAAACACAAAACTGCATCATTCAAGTGAGAGTTTAAATATATATTTTAGAAATAGGTAGGTGTTAGCCGCATTACGCTGCATTGTACTCATTAAAAACTGTAGTAGGGACATAGTTCAGACCTAGTGGGCTGTTGTACTTATAATGCTGAGTCTAGCAGTAGAGTTGGAATGATGCAATGTTTTCCAGCAATTTGGGGCTGCACAGGAGAGCCATAGAATTGTGACTTGCATCAGATGGCCAAGTGAAAATGAAAAGGGGAAAAACCAAAAGGAAACTGATGCTTCAGAGATCTGCTGTGGGGTTTTGTTTTGGGTTTTCTTTTCCTGAAATATGTTTGTAGCACAATTACACTGATGATACTCTTGGAAGAGTACAAATTGCTTGTGTTTATTGCTTATAGGTGCTTTACAGCGCTCTTTGAGTGACAGGAACACCTATGTAATCTGGTGTGATGAATGAGCCAGGAGCAGTGCAGTGCTCTGAGGTTCTGTAGCACAGCACCTGCTGTAGCTTCAAATTCAAAAGCAATTATAATTTGATTAATTTTTATTTATTTGTTTAAATGACTGGAGAATTGCTGTGTTCTATCATTACACTTGCTCCCAATCAAAAATTAAGCTAGAGCAGTTACTAGACAAAATCTAGCAACCTGTGAATTTGACATATACCATTTATTTTGAATTGGCGTCATATTCTCCTTATTCCTTTGCTGGTAGCCAGAGTCCTGGGAGGCAGTGCTTATCAGAAGCATTATTTTAGATCTCAAGATCTCGCAGGAATGTGAAGTTTGGAATTTGTTTTAAAAGAGTGCTGATAAAAAAAAACCGAAACAACCAAACAAAACAGAACCCAAATATAAAGGCTTTGTGTGTGGCTTTTTCATTTCGGTTTATAGTTGTCATACTACTTTAAACTGATCTTTGCCGTCACAATAATTCATTAGCTGGTTTCCTTTGGTAATTTTCTAAATCCATAAGCTGTAGAGCTCCATGGCACTATTTGGTCTCAGAAAGCTTTGTTGCCTGGCTGCAGATTTCTTAACTTACTCCACTAAATCTCCTGGCCCAGTAATGAGTGTTTTCTACAGAAATATTTTTGCCATATGACCTAGAGGACATATTTTTAATAGAAATTGAGGGTTATAACAGTCATGCACCATACTTTGCATTTCCATAAAGACATAAAATGTAACCACACAGCCACTTGGAAATCAGTTTAAAAATAAATATGGCAAAACTGAGAAAGGTTTTCTTAAACAAATATAAGAGATGTTTGTATGAAACATTATGGTAAAATACTTTCACAGTGAAGAGTTTTTAAGTGGTTTGACTATGTGAGGGCTTATAACTGAGGAAAAACTTCTTTGCTGTGATTTTATTTGATTTGGTTCATGGGCACCTTAAGGAACTGTAATTGTGTCAGTGACCTGCTCCAGCTGAAAAGGCTGTAGCACAGTAAGATTGATTAACTGCTGGTTGAAAAAAAATTCAGGTTTTCTGTTATTCTCTTGCCGCATTCTTAAATATTTTATGGGAACAGAGACAAGTTGTGTGATGAATGTATGTTAAAATATTTCTGACATTGAATGTCAGAGCAAAAGTCATAAATAACTCCCCTTTTAATTTTCTTTAAATTACAGACGTATGAGTCTCTGTCATAATTACATGTGCCAGTTGGAGATTTAAATGCATTTCACTTTATGCACTTGACTTATGAAATGAACATTAGTCTTTGAGGAGGTGGGCCAAACCTGACATTCCTCATGTAGCACAGATACAGTTCAATTTATGCAGCCCTCCCTTCCTTCCAAATGGTTATTGATTACATAAATAAGTAGGTAATTTTTCTCTTTCAGAACTTTGCAGAAAACACTATGAATGAGCTCCTTGGCTGGTATGGTTATGATAAGGTTGAGTTGAAAGATGGAGAAGATATTGAATTCAGGAACTACTCGGCAGACGGGGAAAGCCGCCAGCACATTTCTGTTCTCAAAGGTAATGAGACTTCATGTTTCTGTGTTCATGTGAAGAAGGATTAATAGCTCAACCTGTCTAAATTGGTGTGGATTGGGAAGCGTGTTCTGCTACTTGTGTCTTGGTTGCTTTGCATAAAAATATCTGAGAGTATCTTGTGCTATAGGGAAGCCAATAAGGTATGAGGAAAATCACTTTACAGAATTGCTGTTGGTTTGCTCTTACTGATGTATCTTCGCAAATAATGCCTTTTGTGAGTCAGTTGAGAGTCATTTACCTGTGGTACCAATAAACTTCTCACAACTGGAGGAAAGAGGGAGCCCTTTCTTAGCAGAGTGGCTTTAAGGAACCCTTTAGCTTTCCATACTAATGCTGCTTTTGAACTTTTTAAAGTGTTGAAAGATTTTAAACTGGAATATTCCCAACACATGTAGGAATGAGTGTGAGCATTCACAAAAGGCTTCGTATCCACCTTTGTACCACACTGTCTTCTGAAAGTGTAGTAGAAATTTTCCAGGGATGGAATTTGTTTGAGACACTGCCGAATCTTTGTGATTCAAAATGTAAAGGATGAGATCCTGTCTGTTTGTTCCGTCATTCAGTTTTTGCCTTCTGACTCCTCAGTCCCATGGGATGGGTAGGGACTTGTCATCAGAGTGAAGAGAAGAGTAGAAAATTACTGCATCTTGACTTACCGAACAGGAGTTCCACAAAGGTGAGGTAAAGAGAGGAAATTGCAGCAGCTCTTATGCTCTTGGAGTGCCGCTTTTCACTGTGTTCATGGACAGCAGTGTTTGGGTTTTCTTTCTGAAAGCCAGGAGCAGCACTGTGTTCAGTGAGTGTTGCAGTGAGTACTGATACCAGAGAGAGCAGTGCTGAAGGAGACAAGGCTAGAAAAAGGTGAAAAAATTAGAGGTAAGGGGAAACAACCTAACTGTGTTAAAATTGAATGTTTGCAGCTCGTTAGTTCTATAGCAACATTGGTGATCAATGATTGTTTTTCATTTAAAATGCAATGGTGTTAAGCTGCCTTTGAGGATACTTATATGCCTGTGTAGCAATGCTCTTCATTTATTTATGTTTTAATAAATAGATCTTTTATTGAGTGACTTGTGGCTCCAGTCTATGCTTGATGAAATTTGTGACATACTTTTTTTATAGGCACATGATACAAATCCTATGTTTTATGTACCATAGATGTCGAATGTCTGTGCAGGTAGAAATTTTTTGTGTGTTCAATCTATGGGAGGGAAAAAAGTACATTTCTCGTTTTAAGAGATGGGGGGAGAGGGAGTAATGAGAATTAAGTCCTGTCCCATAGCTGAAGTGTATTAGAGAAATTCCTACAAATAAGAATCTTGAGGTGATTTGGATTAAAGAATTAGATTAAAAACTGTCATCATTTCATGCGCACTTTGCTGTGATTTCAATATTTTGTTCATTTCTTTAAATCCCTTTCATTATTACTACTCATATGTATAGAGAATTAAGGATTCTTTTATTCTTCAGTTTATGCTTCTGGCATTGGTGAAGTCACAGTACACTGGCTGTGATCACCATGCACACAGTACAAATAAAGTACAGAAATAGGATGCCATTGACTAAAGAAGGCATACTAAGGATATGTATGACAAAATAATCTTATCTTTTGCAAAAAGAACGCGTGAATTTGATAAAAAAAAACAACTGGAGCATTTCTGAAGAATAGTGGAAAGTATGAATTTCTATAAAAGGGAAAATGTCTGGGTTTTTTTATGCACTCTTCTTGTGTTAGGGTAAGTAATTTAATGAAGAGATTGGTGAAAGTATGTAAGGCCACTTAAGAAATATATGTGTCATACTGTACAATGTGTTCTTTGTGTTTTACAGAAAATTCTTTGCCAAAACCAAAATTACCTGAGGACAGTGTTATTTCACCGTACAATATAAACCCAAGCTACCCAGGGCTTGCAGCAGGAAATGGACTATCGGACTCACCAGCAGGGTCGAAGGATCATGGGAATGTACCTATTATTGTCCCATTAATTCCACCACCTTTCATAAAGCCACCAGCAGGTAAATCCTAATGTACTATTTTTTAAAAATGGTTACTGTCATTGATGATGTCCTGAGATTGCTAGATCATTATGTCTTAGCAAGAGGGCTGATTTCAAAATGATTGAAATCTGGTCACAGGGAGCTTTAAAATGGAGTGGGAAGGTGGCTTTAGGTGCTTTACTATTCTTGAAAAACTTCCACAAATGCAGTGACAACAAACTTGCACTGCTTGTGACACTCCTCATGCTGGATTATAGTCTCAGCACTTCAGTAGAGTCCGCTTTTAGGAAAAAAAAAAAAAATTGTTCTGGTGAATAAAGCCTTTAAGTAAATTAATGGAAGAATATTAAATTGAAAACAGTCTCCATGAAGGGAACAGTGAAAGAGACAAAGCCGTCAAATAAGTATCACGTCTGTATATCAGGTTAACAAGCTCATATTGGGAAAACTGTCTCTTGATTTCCATTGAAATCCCTGACCATTGTCTCTTGAGGGTTTAATAAGATCTTCTCTCTACCCAGGAGACTGTGCTGAGATGTTTTACCTTTTCATTAGATTTTTATCAGGAGTGATTTTATAATATGCCATTCCTCGGAGTTTGCATGAAAAATGATTTATTCCACTCTGCATGCTGCTTACTGTAATCCGTGAAAGGAACTCTTGCGGCTACACCAAGGTGATTAATTGTTGTGTTATTGTTTACTGCTCTACACGGTGTGATAATTGGTGAATCTAGATAGCAGTAGGCTCAGTCCTGCTTCCATGGACGTCCCTGCGTGTTGTTCTGGTTGCTCCTGAGCGATCAGGGTGACATGCAACACCTCTCCCAGAACGGTAGCTCTCCACACACAGGGAGGCACCTTGGCCAAAGAGTCCCCATCAGGTGCAAGGGTGCCTCTGCTCAGGCAGAACAGCTTGTAGCATTAGGTCCCAGCTGTTAGATGGTCACCTCTGCCCTTCGTAGCTTTTTCAAAAGGTAGCTGTAAAATACCTATCAGTCCAAGAACGTGTTTGCCTGTTGTCAGTCGTGTACAGTTACCCCTCCTAAATTACTGTTATGCCATTGAGTTTTTTCTCTATAGAAGTATACTAATATGCTATGAATAATTTTAAAATGTTACTCAATACTCATTCCCTGCCAAAAACTTTCAATCTATTTTATACGGTATTTGCTAATTACCAAAGCTATTTGGGCCCATTCCTGCAGCCTTTACACAGCTAAAGATCTCGGGCCATATGGGCTGGATCCTCAGCTGTTGTTGATTTGGCCCTAAAGCTTTAATCAAGAGCTTGTGCCATCCCAAGCTATTTTCCCCTCCAATGTGAGTCACGAATGAATCCAGAATGCTGAATTTGTGGTATGTGAACACAAGGCTATAGCATGCATTGTGCAAATTGCCACAGTTGCTGGATTTTTATGACATCAAATAAGCAGGAGGAGATGGAACTATGAAGTAGAAAAACAAATTACTGCAACAGTAGTTAAGTGGACACAGGGGAATCTTGGCCAAGTCAACTGCCTTCTGTTCTTTGTCTGTCCACCTACAGCATATGATCCTGTGTTCAAATTACCACTAAGGGTAACCTACAGAGAAGGCTTTTCATAAGTATTTTTCAACTTTACTTTTAAAAATCCATTAATTAATAATGGTTGTTGTTTTACCTACATAGGGGATATAAATGCATAATCTCTGCCTCCTCTGACTTTATCCCATGATCAGTAATGAGCACTAGATTACTGTGACTTCTGAGCAGATGAACATATTTATCTCACCTTTGTTTTAGAGAGCAAAGCTTGGGAGGACTGGAGGGGGAGGAGAACCACAACCTTTGTGGGATTTGCAATAAGCATGGCTAGTAATTGTTTCATTTTATCTTAGGGCGTAGGTGCCCTAGTCATGATCATCCCAAAGAACTTGGCAAGAAACAACTGGTGAATACAAGTAGAAAAGGGAGTACAAAGGAGAGCCAATGTGCAAGGCAGTGGTCTTGGCACTGCACTTTGACACTGTTCTGTGGGCACTACATCAAAGCAGAAAACTTCAGAGTGATACAAAGCCAGATGAGAGTAACTCTGGGGATATTTTCTTAGAGTCCCTTGCAAACGCAGGGGATGACTTTGGAAACAGCACAAAGGTGCTTTTTTGAGTTGAGCATGCAAATGATTAGACTCACATCATTAATTTTCAGCATGGGGGACAGACAGACTATGACTGACCTGCCACAAGAACAGAAGCAACTTACATTTGTTTGAGTTAATAAATGAAGTAAGGGGACAGAGGGAGAGGCAGAAAGAGGCCAAAAGAAAACTTCAAGGTCAAAACACTGGGCAGGAAAAGGGACATTTGCAGTGTATTTTGAGCAGACACACATAGGACAAAGTTACATTATGGACCAGAGAGAAAACCAGGTAGTAATGTACTGTAGTGACTGATATGCTAAGAATTGGGATGCGTCCAGATTTTGTGAATGGATGAGGAAAGCTTTTAGATATTTGTACAGGAGAAAAATCTACAAGACTTAAATATAGCTTGAAACAGAGTACCCATAGGTAAAAATGATACCTAAATCATGACTCTGAAAGACAGGAAAGATGGTGCAGTCCAACCTTATTGAGCAAACAATATGGAGTGAGCACTCAGGGAGAAATTATTAAGACTTTAATTCTTGCTGTATTGATCTTGAACAGAAGGGTCAGCGTGAGTAAAAAGGTGTCAGACAGGCTGAGGTATTCATTTGGACAGGAGTGCAGTGGTCTGAAGAGGATAAGCAGATCCAAGAAACAGTCACAATGAATGATTAGTTGAATAATTTTTGCTGATAAGAATCTATTCAGATAAGAGGGAGAAGAGAAAGAGCAGAGCATGGACGATGCTCACAGAAGCCTGAATGGAGAAATGGGAAGGATACTTGGCATTGTGCACTGATGTAGCAATTGCAGAGGTAGAAGACACTGGGGATGACAGTCAGGAAGCCAAGGGAAACAAGATTTCCAGGGAAGCAAATATGAGTCTTGATATCAGAAACAGCTACCAGCTTGAGCAAGAGGGGGAAGGAGTGCTGATCCTGAACTATGTCCAGGAAGCTGTCATTGAAGATTTCAGCAGATTAGGTTTTCCTTGAGTGTGCTGAAAAACTCTGTACTGTGTCTTGTCTGCATTCATATTTTGTACGACCAGCCTAAAACCTGGAACATTTAACAAAATTACCTCTTTTTCCCTCACACCTACTTTGCAGTAAAGCGTTTTGAAAAACCAAATAATTTTGACCAATCTGACTAAAATTTTATCTCCAACCTCTTCAGATTTCTGTTTTAGTCAAATGAAATGTTAGGTACAAATTGGCTTATATGATCTTGGAAAACGTTAGGGGTCTACCTATCCAGAGAGGTAGCTGCAATAAAGACAACCTCTCTTTGCTGTACCTCAGAATTACATCCAAAAAAGGCTGAGTTAAATGCATGGGCCCTGTGTGGTCCACTGATTGTCTACAGACTCAGGTTATGGCATGTTAGTGGAGGATGCTAAATCCAGTCATGGGAAGCCTCCACCAGAACGATGCAAATTGCTCAGATGTGGAGGCTGTTTTTGCAAGAGCATTGCGCTGATTTGTACCACCAGGCAGATAGATCACAGTCAGACAGTCCCAAAACAAATGTGACTTTATAAGTCAACATCAGCCATCCAACCTGCATCTGGAAGCAAAAAAAGAAGTCAGTGCTGCCTCCAGAGAGTTGGTGTAAGAGTCTCCTTGTGGCCAGTAACCGTCCCTCTTGCCCAGCAGGCTGGTAACTACGTTTAGAATTGGCAGCAGATTCTGAGTGATCTTCAGGGTTAGTCTCGAGTACAGCTTGTTGCAACAAATTGATCTTATTTCTACTTGGTGTTAGAAGTTTCTTATTTTCTACACAGCAATGTAAAGAGGATGGGTAGGGTTTTCTTGTTGCTTGGGTTTTTTTTTTGTTTTTTTGTTTCCAATTTAAAAATTACATAGAAATAGCAAGGAACAGAAGTGCAATAGCCAGGAATGATCTAGGACTAAAAATTCTACCACAGTTGTGCATATTATTTGGCCTTAGTAATGTATCATGCAAACCTTTTTTTATTCTGAAGTCCTTAATGACAGAGTAAATCTAAGAGGGCACTTAGGGTGACTCTACCCTTTTGCTCAGGCAAGTTTGGACGACTCTTGTTACATAGGATGAAGGAAGGCTAAAATCAAGACTAGTTAAAGAGGAATGCAAAAAATTCTTTCGATGCAGGTGAGAACATGCTGCCTTCTCCCCCTGGCACCTGCTGGAGGCTATGGTGTCTCAGTTTTCCCGTTTCTTTGAGTGCTCTTTGATTTAGTTTTTCTTAGGATCCCAGTGGCAGTGCCTTGGTAGGGGAGGTACAAGTGCCGCATGGTCTATCCTTTGAGCATGGTTGTTGGCAAAATCCTTCCCTTTCCTGCCTCCTTCTGTGTACAAGCAATGCACAGAGTGTGTCTGCTCCTCTGAGCATCCCAAACAAGAACCAGCTCCCTGCCGTGCTGCACTGCGAGGGGAGGTCACTGCCGAGGGACATGGTGGAAGGGGAGGCAGAGAGGATGATGTTATGCAGTTCATTGAGTTTTTCACAGGGGAAAGAAGTACGAGGGGAAAATAATGCTCCCTCCCAGGGTTTTCACAAGATAGTGAGTACATTTGGAAAAAGAAAATGTATTTAAAACCTACAACCCACAGATCGGTGTCTCTACATAATGTTAGGTTCAGTGATTTCCAAGCTATAATGGTTGGAATTGTACCAGAAGCTATCAGAAACTCATGAAAGTGAAAGAAAACTGGGCTGCAAGAACTGTATCTGGTGAGGCAAAATGTCTTAAAAGGGAGGCAGAAACATTTCCAGTTCTGAGTACATTGTAAAATAGACCCGTGACCTAAGCTGGCAAAGAAGTGTCAGATTCAAACAGTAAAGTGAATAATTAGGTATTTTATAGAAAGGAATGAGTGATTTTCTGTGTTATGTCTTAATATTACT